TGTTCTTCGTTTGTCTCGACGAAAAGGTCAAAAAGCACTCACATGCGTATCTCCGCCTCTCGATTCCTTTAATCATTTGTCCAGATCTGTATATTTTTTTTATCACATAGTTCATATAAAAAAATTTATTATTAGTTGAGTAATTACTCCAGATCTGCAAAAAAAATCTCTGAGCTCTTGTTTAAAATTCCGCTCTTTCTGTTTTTTGTCTGGAACAGGTGTGTTTTTTTCCAATTAGATCTTATTATCAAGCTAGAGAGAAGATGAATCACTGTGCAATTCAACAAGGTGCTTTCGCCGCCTGTGAAGACATGTGGAGCTCCGTTTCTTCAATTTCAGATAAGAAGGATGCCGTTGTTTGCCCCAAGCCACGGCGTCTCGGCCTTTTGAACGCCACCATAACTGAACCTATCAGACCTCTCAGATGGCATGTTAGGTAGAATTTCTATGGCTGATTGCTTTTTAGTTCTCTGAATCATTCTGTTTGTTTTCTAATTTTTCAATTTGTTTGTTCAACAGCCATCAGCAAGAGCTATGTGATTCCAGAGCTGGAGCTGATCTATTGGACATCATCCTCGCTAAGGTAGTTCGTGGCTTTTCAATTACTATATACGTTAAATAATCGTGTATCATAGTTCGTCTCTACCTTCACCAAAGTAAGGGTAAGGTAGCTAAGTATACAGTATGTATGTTTTGTTGTTGTGGTAGTCTTATCTATTTGTCGAAAGCAAAGAAATGATAACATCTTTGTGGACGCATTGAAAGAAAAGGGCTTTTATCCAAGTGTGTGAGCACATTGTACTTGTCATTGTAAGGTGTTAGATTGGTGAATTTTATCTTGTTCTTCAATTTGAGTGGCTTAGAATGAATTGACATGTCCCAAAATGGTTCTTAACGAAGTTAATCAGCTGTTAACGATCAGTTTAAAGTCATCTAAACAGGATCTATTGAATACGAAACATATGCTGATTATTGGTTGTGAAATTGTTGCAGGGTGGTGGTGGTGCGGATCAATCATCTGCTGCACAGGTAGCCTCGTCGCCCCCCTTTTTTTGTGGGTCACCGCCGAGCAGAGTATCTAACCCATTAATTCAAGATGCACGTTTTGGTGATGAGAAGGTCACCCCAGTTTCACCACGGGCAATTCCTATACCATCCGGACTGGCCTCGTCCCCATCCACATCCACCAGAAAAGGTGGATGCGTGAGGGCAAATTTTGGCAACAATCCAGCCGTTAGAGTTGAGGGCTTCGATTGCCTTGACAGGGATCGCCGTAACTGCAGCATCCCTACCCTGGCTTAATCAAACCCTCGAAATTCGAAATCCATTTCAACAGAAGAGAAAAGTAAATATAGAGGTAATATGAAGTTTGTTTACACGAGGAGAGAGTAAATCAGCCTTTTGTCTTTAGCATCACCAGGAGGAGGAGAAACAGGAATTTTGAACGTGAGAAAAAGAATCCTTTTTACCTAATGTAAATATGTTTAAAAAGGGTGTAGTTAAGTGTCTGTAAGTAAAAAAAAAAATGAGAGTTGTGTTGTTCTTAACCCAAGTAAATAATTATGAGATAAAAATTAGGAGTTGTTCTGGTAAAGGTGGGTAAAAACCCTCTTGGAGAATGGTGTTGTAAGTATGAAAAGAAGTTGAGGAGAAAATTTTTAGGATTTTGTCCATTATGGGGTGGTTTAGAAATGTCAATATGGGCGGCTTTGGTTAAGAGATCAAAAAAATGAAGGAAAAAAACCTTTATTAGTTGTTGAGTAGTCATGGTTGTAGTCAATTCACTTTTTGTAAATATATGAAAAATATGTACAAATATCCTTTACGGCTAATATGATATATGATCATTTTGTTGCGTAAATTGCGTGTTGTGATTTAAATTTTCTTCTACCGCTATCATTTCGACGGCTTGTGAATAATGATTCTTTGCTTGTTTGCTACGCAAAAGATGTTAAATTATTGGTTGCAAATGAATTCTATGATGATTTTCTTATATTTGTATTTTGAAATGTTTTTGTTTTTTTGTTCCAGTTTTAAAAGAAATCGTTTCAGTTTTACCTAATTCTTAGGTTGAGCTAGTAGATGTATAGTAAGAATTTGGATATTAGTTGGTGAAAAACTATTTTCTAAATGAAATTGTGTACATCTTAGCCAAATTTATTAGGAAGTGTTATGTTTGATGAAGACTTCGATCTTAATTTATTTATTAACTAAGCTCATTATCGAATAATCCTTATGTTCAATAACGACTCTGACATGATCACCTCAGCCCCTTTTAAGATCTTGTCATTGGCTTTACCAATAGAAAAAGTAGAAAACTTAACCAACAGCAAAGAAAAAAGATTAAATAAATAAATTGGTGCGAATAGGGGAAGTGTCTTTTTCGTTCTTTTTATGGTTAGGCAATTGGTGTTGTTGATATGTTTGTTGATCAAATAAACTCAAAAGTTCATTCCTGGTTTAGATTTTGATCAAATCAGAAAAGGTTTTAATTTGGACCACACTATTTCATGATTAGAATACGTTAATCATGATCTATTAAATTCAAGTTAGTGCTAAGGGTATAGATTCTCACTAAATCATTGTAAGAATAAAAACTAAAGGTGAAAAAAAAAAGATGCAAAAGGTGAAATTCGTTGAGAATAAAAGATTAGTTATTGGGTAAAAATCCCACAAAAGTAAATATGGAATAAAACTTTTTCCTAAAGCATTGATTCTGGGCGATACAATTGGTGAATGTGACTCCCCAAAATTAATGTTTCTACCTTATTTAATTATGTGATAATGTTTTATTCAATTAACTTTATAGCATTATGTAAATGTTATGATAGACTTGAAACACGAGCTTAAAATTCCTATACCCTCACAAATGTCATAATATGTTATAGATAACAACAATAAATACTTTTTCATAACCTCACTAGAGTATTTTGAAGAAAATAAGATGAACACAAAACTGAGAGAATATTTTCGATAGACCACATAATTTATGCTATTACAATAACATGACATTCAATATAAACCAACAACTAAGTTTGAAAATGATAGTATGTACACATATATTACTCCTATCTTCAGGTAGAAAAACTGTTTCTTATATATCGACGACTAGAATAAAAAATAATAAGCGAAGAAATAGTGATAAAATATGTTTTAGATTGTTAGTTTATTTTCAAATTTCATATGTCAGAAGAAAATATATACTTTTAAGAAAGATAATAATTGTGGGTGTTGAAGTCAAAAGACAAATCAGGTGTGTGTTTCCATAGGAATTTCAAACAAAAGCAATAAAGTCAAATGGGTTATAGCTTTTCTTTTTGTGTTTACAACTAAGACATTATCAAGTTGACCAGTTCCAATAAAGACAAAGAATCTCATACTCCCAACATATTAAGCAACAGCTGCACGTTTGAACAAATTTAAAAAATTAAATTAATGAAAGAATTAGCACTCGTATTAAATATTAAAAAATACATATATAGACCCAATCTACAAGTGATTTTATTGCTTTTATATTGGAAAAGATAGGTTGAAAATAAGTGAATTGAAAATCAAAGAAGATATTTATTAACATCAATTTTGAAGGCAAGTTCAAACCTCACAAACTTCAAATCTTTGATTTTGTTTATTTACAATAGTTTAGTTACCCTCCAAAATATTTTTGATAGTTTTTTGATGATGCAAGATTGATAGTGGTGCTTTTGGTTTATTTCATGTGATGAATATACTTGGAATTGTTTAGCAACTTATGACTTAAATAAGTAATATAGTTGCGTGAGGTAGAAATTAGCTAAAACTAGCTTATCAGTAGGTGACATCACGTTTTAAAAAAAATTACAAAGTTGTTATTTTCAAATGCTTATAGACTACTAATACTCATTATACCAAATACATATATTTGTTAAGAAATTATTTGAGAAAGACAAGCATAATTAGTCAAAGGTGGCTGACAAGGTAGTCAACTTATTTCTGTTACCCCACCCCTTTTATTTTACAACAGTGTAATTACAAAAATATAGTCGGATAAGATAAGATATGCGCATACCTTACCCTTGTGGAGGATAGAAGTTGTTTCTGATGAACTCTCAACTCAAAAAAAAAGGTATTCAAAGCATTATTGCAAGAAAATAAGACAACAGAATATCAGGATAACGACCAAGAGTAAAACACTAAGATGTGTGTTTACCTTATCCTCGTGGAGGATAGAGGTTGTTTCTGATAAACTCTCGGCTCAAAAGAGAAGGTACTCAAAGCATTATTGCAAGAAAATAAGACTACAGAATATCAGGATACCAAGAAAAGGAAACGACCGAGGGTAAAACACTAAGAAACTACGTGATTGCAAAATTCTACTATTAATAAGCTGAGAAGAGATGGAGCTAACCCCCTTTATCTCCCACGTAAAGTGAGACAACACTCGATTACCTACTGCACCTGCTTCCCTAATCCCCACCCTTTTCTTATATCACCATTAATTTGTTGAGAAAGAGAAATGAAATGAGTATGACCTATTTTGTAGACAGAAAATAGATACTCAGAAAGTCAGATGCTACACAAAACTAATTTTAATTCACACAGAAAGGAAAATAAAACATAGCACAATGTGGAGCATACCTTGTAAAAATTAACCAAATCCTCATTTCACTATTATTGTTAATCAGCAAAGAAGGTTAAGAGCACACAAATCAAACCTCTCCTATCTTTGTGAGGTAGAAGAGATTGTTTCCGATAAACCCTCGGTTCAAAAAGGAAGTATCTGAAGCAGGAAAATATATATAGTTCAGTAACATGAAAGAGTGAAAATATAACGTGTCGAGCCAGGATCATTACTGTAGAAGGAAATTTCTATATGGCCATATAGTTAAGAAATTGAAATAATAGATATATAGAACAAGTAAATATATACAGAGAGAGCCCATGACTTTATTTACTCAGTATCCATGATCGTACAACGCTTCCTTAATACGGTGATATGTGTCAAGAAAATTTTGAGTTAAGAGATATGGCAGAATGTATCTAAAGGAGATGAAACTGTATGTCTTGCGATTTGTGACAGTATGGATCATAGGAAGCATGAGTCTAATGTTTGATCATGATCTTTGTTTCGTATGGGCAGATTTCCTATTTGTGAATCCAATCCTAGTGGGGTCTCTATTGAGGAATTGTGGGTGTTAATATGACCGTTTTAATTCCTGGTTATGCAACCAAAATACAACGGAGGTGGTTGAGGAGTCCGTGGGATTCTATCCCCACAATCCAGTCCTGGGGATTCAGTTGGATGTTATCATGGGTTAAGACACTTAGAAAGAGGTGGCCCACGTGCTGTTTCGTAGGAAGCCCAGAATGATTGTGTGGATCATGGAGTTTCTATGTATGTAATGGTTGTTCATTTTGTGAGAGGGTTGTCAGGGGACAGACCGTATGAGGAGTTGGAGACGGGCTTTTAACCTTGAAGCAGAAGGGTCTACACTTTGGGGCTTTTAGTATGACATATACATGTCAGGCACATGCTATTTTGTCCTTTACAACAACCACAAGGAAGATGTGACTGATAGATGCACTGGATTTTAAAGAAAGGTTTATTCAATTGCTTTCAGTATGCAGAACAGCAACAACAACATGCCCAGGGTACTCCCACAAAATGGGTTTGGGAGGGTAGAATGTACAGACCTTACCCCTACCTCAAAGGTAGAGAGGTTTTCCGGTAGACCCTCAACTCAGTATGCAGAATTAGAGTGTACGCTGACCTTAACCCTATTCTCAAAGGTAGAGACGCTGTTTCCAATAGATTCACGGCTCAGTATGCAGAATCATGCCCTGAAAAGGAACCTCAAGAACAATCAAGATGCATGCTTTACTTGTTATACATTCTGGCTCTTTAGTGTGCACAACCCTGTTTGAGTTTTACTCATTGTGTCCAGCATGCACAAAAGTGTGAATGTGGAGAGCTACATACCAAAACTGTCAACTTACAAGAACCAGTGTAACGCTTACTTGCTTTAATCTGCATGGCGAGGAAAAAACAGTTACAGGATAATGCAATCGAAACAGAAAATAGAAATCACACAACCATATGCTTTAAAATTACACCCTCAGGTGTACTTTTGAAATCTCCATCAAATAGTCATCTGGCAAACTGACAAAGATGTATTTAGACTCTAATACCCGTGATTTATCAAACTACCCCCATTGCAGACTTGTTTTAAAAAATGTTTAAGGCCTGGAAAGAAAGGCAAAAGTGTTAAAACATGTGAAGATATACCACAAGGAATTGTAAATTTCAATTACTGGCACTCAGGTTCCAACTAGAATTATGGCACCTGCAGCATCCAGGGACTTAGTAATAGCCCACTGATATCCAGTATCATCAGTTACACCAGCTATAAACGCCCTTTTACTTGCAAATACGCTTACAGTTTTCTCAAAAGACAGGACTACAGGGACAGAGATTCCAAATTTGGCCACATTAGAGAAATAGTTACAAGAAATCAAGTGGGGTCTGGGAAGAAATCAAGGTAAGAGTGTATGCAGACCTTACCCCTATCTTAGAGGCAGAGAGGTTGTTTCCAATAGACCACCAGCTCAAAAGAAAAAACAATTCTGAAGAAGAAATAATGGAAGTATAAGAAATAAATAGTAACAGAACAGTACTGCAACAGAACATACGACAGTCGAAGTACAAGAAACAACAAATAGCAACAGAAATCGAAGGATAAAAAACTACAAGTGTAATACTACAACTACTAGTATGGACAACAATTAGACAAAACACTCCCACCTACAACGTTCTACCCTAATCCGTGCCCTCCACAACTTTCTACCTAAGGTCATGTCCTTGGTACAGATACAGGTTTTGACTGGAAGTAGAAGGAAGAAAGTAGGCAAAAGTATCACTTCAAATAATTTAAAGGCAATAGGCATCACTGCCTGAACTCATCATTTACAGATATTTGAAGTCATCAAAGCATCTTAAAAGAAGAATTTTTAGAGGACGGCTTGAAATAAACCCAGAATCATAGTTTCCATCTTTCCAAAACTGGCGACAAAGAGGTCCTGGACATATTGGTGACACTGAAAGACCTGGGGACTAGTGTCTGTATTATCATCTCCATGCCTCTTAATACACCTAAATGTGCTAAATATTTAGCAGGGTACAAAGAAACAAGATGGAAGTTACAATTTCTATGTCTAGAATTCATTAAGAGGGACAAGATGAACTAAAGACTATTTTGTCAACTAGTAATGAGCATTATATAGGGCCTAAAGCAGGGGAAAAAATACTAACCAGTTCACCTAACCAATTGCTGGGTGCAGGAACCCTAACAAAGGAATTCATAGAAATTAAAAAAAATACTATACCCAGAAAGTTCTTTTATGTTAAGAGATTCAACAGTTGTTTATACATAAGAACATGTATATATTTACTGTAATTTACGGACGAAGGGTATTCAATTGAACCCGCCTCCTTCCTTGCTATTAGCTCCACCACTGCAGCCAGCCTTTCAATTCAACAAGCATTAGAACTTACTTTATTTACTTTCACAAGAAATTAATATAGCATAAAAAATAAATAAGACATGTCAACAAATAGCAGACCATAAAACTATTGTTTTTAGCTCAGTTTGTCATATCTTCAAGACGAGAGAATGTATTTGTTGTTTTATGGTTTTTAAATAAACACATTTCTCATATGAAAGGGTAAGGGAAAAACCAACTGACAACTTCATTACTCAAACATACTGCCTTCATAACATATTAAGCATGAGCATGCTTTCATGACCACAATTGAAGGCCGTTAAATTCCTTCACCTATTCTTTGAACTTCCAGCCTTAGCATTGATTATGGAACTAATGTCGGGAACCATTGGACATTCCACACTTGACTCCCAAGTCAAACTTGGCCGCAAATGCTAAAGTTGACTGAAGAGCCTTTTGAATCGAGCTTGGTGTATTTGCAAGGAACGGTGCCTTCGGGGAGCTGGCAATTTCTGCATTGCACTTTTGTGCAGACTGGATTAAGGACTGCCCAGCTGGAAATATAGAACTCAACTGTCTAAACGGCATTTTGCTGGAAGTTGTATTTGGTGCACTTTGTCTCTGAATGAGTGATGAAGCACTGTAACACTCAATAGGATGTGATCTATCTTCTACTGCTTCGTCAACTGACAGGAAGTTTACACCCCGAGGTACAGAACCAGGAGGGGTTCTAGTCGACATTTGATTGATGCTCCCTAACTTGGCTTTCATGTCAACCAATTGCAATTTATCAACTCCATAATCCATATTAAGCATGCCTGACAATGTGTCACCACTAGGCTCAGCTGAAGGTGCTCGGCCAAAGGACAAGAAGTTCATTCCTTGTGGTGTCCTCGTAGATGCGCCTTTCATAAATCCATTCGGTTTCTGAATATTGTCAACACCATTTGCTTTGGAGGGTAAACCAACTTCTTCATGCTTTCTGGCATCACCTTGCAAAGACTTCCCATGAGATAAGAACGTGATTCCTTTGGGTGTTGATGCAGCTGGCTTTCGCACGTGCTCCAATACAGTTCGCTCAGTGCTATTACGGGGAACAAGCCCAGCTGAACTAGATGTGGAGTTAACGTCTTTATGTGACATTCCATTTGTGTTTACTTGGACCAAAGAGTTTGAAGCAATAGGACTTGTAACTGCGTCTGTCTTAACAGTTGTTACCTGATATATGCCAGAGACATAAGAAGTTAAATATCTTGATATAGAAGAGGAAAAACCTCCAAAGATGTAAGAAGATAAAAAATCGTGCACAACTGAAAAGTTAGAAAAGTTAAAAAGTTGAATTGCAGGAAGGATGATACCTCATGTGAAAATAAACAACTAGAACCTCTGTTACAGAACCCATGGGAAGCATATTTATCGCACGGATACTTGGAGAGTTGATGATCAAACGGGCAGTCATCGCCTTTCATGCAAGACTGACGTGCAAAATGACAACATGGCTGAAGAGGAAAGATCTTTACAAACGTTAGGAGCCAGAATAAAGGTAGAAGCATGGATGTTATGTTACATGATAGAAACAAATAACAGCGGATACTTTTGAAGTAAAAGAGATTAAAATTTTGTCATTTTCTGAACAATTTGACAGTGCTACAAATCAAAATTCATGAAATGAAGCTTGAAACAGCAACCAAGATTTTTCTTGGACATTATAAAAAGAGACAGTAGCCTCAAAACTGCTGCAAACATTTTATGCCTTGGTGAGTTGCTTTCTCAATAAGAATCTTAAGCATATACTCCCTCATAATAAGAGATCATAATTTTACACACATATTAAGAGATCATATACTTCCTTTTTACACACATATTAAGAGATAATAATAAGAAGATAATTTTACTGATTCACCCCTCACAAAACTTCTTGGAAATTGTACAAATAAATGTGAACACTTTCAAAAAGAATTAATTACAAGGGTAATATTGGAAAATTTTAATTAATGTTTTACTGATTTAATAAGGTGATCAACTAATATGAGACAACTATTTTTTAGTAAGATGATCAACTAATATGGTACGGAGGGAGTAGTAGACACAAAATAGATACTTAGACCCCTCAGATCTAGCTCTACAATCTGAAATTGACATGTATTAATACTAGACAAACTAATTTTAATCAACACAAACGATACAACATATATAATTTTAAGCATAGCCGAAAATGTGGAATATGTGTACATAGTAAGCCCCCCCCCCAACCCCCAATTTAAGTTGTTAGTTCCAAACTGAAGGGAGCAGCTATAACTTTTATACGGTAGACCTGCATGATCATTTCAAGTTCTATGTCTCCTGACAAATTTATCAAAAACAAATAAGATTTCAGAATATGGCGATGATTGGAATGGCTAGTAAACATTCCAAACTCACTGGTTGCTATTTCAAATAGACTATACCCACTCTCAATTCGAAAGTGAGGTAAGCAGTAGCATCACAGCAGGACTTCAAATCTCCTAGCATTGCCAAAAGCTTGCAACAAAATGGTATAATAAATATATAAAATAAAAGCAGCAAAAACAGACCTTTGACTTTGTCAAGGGGATGGTATCATGAGAAAATTTACACGCCTCACCCTGTCAGAAGGTAAATGAAGAAAGTCAGATCCCCAAAACATTGAAAGATCTGCTAAATCATCTTACCCTATATTACACGATTATGGACTACCTCTAAGCATCTTCCCTTGAGATAATGGCGGCAATATTTCACGACTTTTGGTTTCACCACTGGTGGAAGCTTCAGCCTTTTAACTCCAAGTTTTATTCTCTCTTCAGCTCGTTTACTTCTCTGCTTGGCCTACAAAATAGTTAAGTTCCTTTGTAAATAGAGACATACGAGAGAATGAACAACTTGATCCTATAAATCTGAGAATAAGCATATCATTCTTCCAGATTTAACATCCACATTCAGTAAAGGGATGATAAACTCATTTACAAATGAATGAAAACGAAGAGAGAACGAGATGGTGCACCTTTTTCCTTGCTTTGCTTTCCTTGGTTAAAGGACCTCGCTTCTTTTCCTTTTTACCAATATTCTCATTCTGTCACAAGATGAATAGAATCAAATATAACAATATTCGCAGCTGATGAAAACATAGAAAGTGAGACTCATGTCTAACAAATTGGAAACTATACTTTCATACTGACTTGCAAACACAAACATGACTTTGAATGTTCAACATTAGACGTTTGTAAATTTTGCATTTCTGGTGTAACAGTATTGTGGAAAGTTTGTATCAATACATGTATTTCTAGAGGAGTTAAGTGACTCGTAGAAGTCAGTTTTTAATCTGCAGGTGGAGCACTGTAACAGACTTACTGTACCATCTGGGTACCTTCGTCAATGAAACTTTACCTTATCAAATAAATGTTTCATTAGAAGACTGATATTATGAAAAACTTCAATAACAGAAATCCAATTTCTACTTTGTCCAATTCCTTCCATCCACTGGTCAAGCAAGGAAATCAAATAATCAACTATATTCGAAGTATGCAGATGTGGTGTCAGTAACTTTAGATAATGCACCACATACAAAGTACGCACATGCAGCATCAGTAACTTCAGAAACCTACTAAGTCCTTACACCATTTCCTCCTTTTCTGGAGGGGGGGGAGGGGGGAGGAGGAGGAGAATGCATTATAGTCAATTCTGGATGATTTTGATAATAGTCAGTAAGCATGGTAAAAGGTCTGGACACTTTATGCATTTATGACATCGATCAAAGGTTCACACAAAAATTTCAGATGGGCATATATGAAGTTCCACTCTTTGAAACAGCAAGTGATATGTTCAATAGCAGAGTGGAAATAGTTTTATGGATGCATGAGAATGTACCAAGTCCAAGACAAGCAAGATAGTTGGACAGATTCTTTACTAGCCGCAAACTAACAACTTTTCAGCTGATTCTACAAGAGAAGACAGGCATTTATGGTGAAGTAAAGAAGAACTATCGCTGGAAGACGTCAGAATACTTCTAAGGAGGGATTCACCTATTGAATCCTAACACTGGGAAACTGAAAACAAAAACGAATTAACCAGTAGAGACTTAAAAGTAGCACATAGTTGAAATAGATAGAACATAAATTAAGTGCTAACAAATCGAAGATGTGATCATACCTCAGCAGCAACTTTTGAGTGTTTTCTTTTTTTTGCATTTACACCGGAGGTTGAGTCAAATTGAGAACCAGCAGGATGATCAAACTTCATGTCTCCACCAACTTGCTTAGCATCATTTTCACTATCTAAAATGGTGTCATACACACAAACCTTTCTGGTCTCGACATCCTTTGAGTGGAAAACCTTTTCCACATTATCTTGCGGCTCTTCACTAAACTTTCTTATGAACTCTCCCCCAACAAAGGTGTTATCCTCATCAACTGCATCAATGGACGAAGAGGCATAAGCATCCTTCCTCTGTGGTGCATCAACATGAACATCAAAAGCAAACTCTTCTCTACCAGAAATGTCAGCAGGAGACTCATCTGCTCCATCCTTCTTCTCATTTCCAATACGTTTAAGGATGTCATAATCTGATTCATCAAAAACCATAAAATCTCCAAAAGCTTCCCCTTCCTCCATCTCTTCACCCATAGGAACATGGACAGACGACTCTGCTGCTCCAGCAGAAGATATCAATGTTTCCAACTCCACCTCTTTTACACGCAATCCATGCTTCATTTCTTCCGACAAATGTGTCTCAGAAACATCCATTTTCTCTCCAGAGAACTCTGCAGGTTGAGATATATCAGCAATTGCATCCGCACCAAAACATGATTCTATTGCTGCACTGACATCATCAATACTGGAGTCTTTGTCCAATTCTACCGGTCTGATAAGATCAGGCTCCTTCACCTCCGTTTCATGAGTGCTACACCTATTCCCAGGTTCCTTGACCATTTGATAGTTACAACCAAGAGTTTTGTGTACCAAACCATTCGTATCAATGATATCGTTTGTTATGAAATCACCTCTATCTCCTTCTACTGCATTACTTGTATGATTTGACAGATCTGAATCCACTTGCATTCGTGCACGAGTAAAATCTCCATATCCATAACGAGAGTTCCCTTCATTTCTATCACCAGAACCCTGTTGCTCTACCAGATTGTTAGACTCGTTATGAGCAGGACCAGTACCTAACAAATTCTCAGACCTGATGAGATGATGATCAACTGATTTACCGACTTCATTTTCTTTTCCCAGTTTACTGCTGTCATTGTCATCTGTAAATTAAAATGGCTTCGTCAACACCAACATCCTAATATAACTATAATCTTATTTAGGTTCTTCTTAGATTGAAGTCGAGCTGTAATTCTAAACTAGAGTGGGAACCATCATTTTGTTTATATATTGTACATGTGTAATCATACGATTATCGGAAGCATATCTAACATCACAATAACACACACTGAGATACATTTGTTGCATGTAATATACCAAAAGGGGGAAAAAGATACTTACACACAGAATCTAAGACAAACAACAATTAAAACTGGAACAAATTAATATAGTTGCAGATAGTAATACATTATCGAAAAATAGGAACTACACAATAAATGAATACCACTGCTTAGAGGAAAAGTGTAGACTCTCCCACACAAAGTGGGACAACTCTCGGCTACCTAATAACTCTCTTCTAATCCTTGACCTCTGTATCTTCCTAATTAAGGTCATGTCCTCAATCATGCTGAAGTTGTGTCAGTTCTATTTAACCACCTCCACCTCTTCAAACTCCTGCTACAACCAATATCTCACACCTCCTCCTCACGTGTGTGAACCATCTCAATCTCAACCTCACTTCCCTCCTATTGTCTTCTCATGTATAATTTCATTCGTAATCACACCTATTCTCTGAGTATGTTCATACATCCATTTGAACATGCTCATCTCCACTACCTCTCTGCTCCATACATCAATATTGGTCATTCCAATCTATCGTCATCTCAAATTGGATAAATAAGCATATAAATTCATACTTTAAGTTCCATTTTCAGCTAATTCACGCCAATAAGATAAAATTTAAGCAAATTACCTAGTTTTTGTTTATCAGTGGTTGAGTCGGTGCTGCGACAATCAGATAGAATCTGGAGCAGTGTACTGTAGGTTTTGCTCATGAGTAGCCGGCGGCGAGGAGGTAAAGGATAGAGGTTTTGCAAGGGTTTTAGGGCGCCGATTTGCGAATTCTCCATTGTTGATCAAAAACACACAGGCGCGCTGATGTTGCGCCGTTCTGACAAATTTATATACTATGAGGCAAGTTTCTGTAAAACTATATATTTTAAATATTTAAAGAGTAATAATATTATTCTGCAAAAAGAAAAATTAAAATGATATATTTAATTAAAAATTGAGTTATTTACCTTAAATTAGTAGGATCAAGTCTTATTGAATTTGTTATTTTTTATGTTGTTCTATTGTTGATGAAGGGAAGTGCTTGAGCAAAAGGAATATAATTATATACAAACACATAATTGTTTAAATGTGATTAATTAGAAATTTCTAAATTTATTTAAATAAAATTTATTCATAACGAAACTTACGAATTATATCTTTTGATTATGATGTAATATTCAGTTTTTTTATATATTCCTAAATCAAATACGTATTTTAAAATTCATATTTTTAAAATTAAAAAGTCACAAAAATGTGAGATTAATTTTATTCCTCCATTTTTAAATAGTGATTTTAAAATTTGATCCTAAATAATAAAAAAGTGTATATGACAAACCTATTTGATGTGAATTTAAATTTGTTTGACACTTACGTAAAATTATAATTTTAAAACACCCGAAGAATATATGCCTTTTAAACTACTAGTCAACCTTAGGCATGGCAACTATTTAAACTTTAGCCAATTCATAAAGATACCATAACTTCTAACTTTGCTCAAGCAAGCAAAATCTGGTCAACTATTTCTTGTAAGCCCAACTTGCCATGCAAACGGCTTTCACTTCCCAACTAGATGGGCTTTGGTTAGTTGGTGATCTTTCTTCACATGTTTTTCATGATTAAACTCGTGAAAATTTCTTTTCTATGGATAGCAGTGAAATTTGATATTAAAATGGGTAACTTTCACATATAGCAAACAAAAAATTTATATTTATATGATATAGCAAAGTTTGCATAATTGTGCTTCATAGCAAACATAAAACTGTATAATTCGCTATACATATACGATTGTATAATTCGCTGGCCTATTTCGCTGCAATTGTATAATTCGCTATCCTATTTCACTGCAATTGTATAATGCACAATTGTATAATTCGCTGCCTATTTTGCTGCAATATTTTTATAAAATTTGCTTTGCAACAATTGAATCGAATTAAAATGTATGTATATTGCATAATTATAAGTGTATAGCAAGAAGATACATGTTTTTCTCTCGCTTTATACAAAAACAGAAACACAATATATACACTTATGTTGTATAAAGCTAGAGAAAATTGTATTTCATTGTAATTGTATAATTCACAATTGTATAATTAGTTTGCCTTTTTCTCTGCAATATTTGTATAAATTTTGTATTTGTCTACAATTGAATTGAAGTAAAATGTTTGTAAATTATATAATTAAGTGTATAACACGAAGATGTATTTTTTGCATGTGTATATACAATTTTCTCTCGCTTTATACAAAACAGAAACAGAATTTATACACTTCTGTATATAAAGCGATAGAGGCGAGAATGGGAGAGTGGCGAGCGAGATTTTTGGGAGAGAGGCGTCTGGCAAACTTTGGCTGACGTTTGCTATAGAGCACAAATAAATCAAACCCTAGCTACTCCATTTATTTTAGGTTATTAATTTGCTATTATATACAATTTTTCCTATTAAAATCTACGTCTGCTTTGATATTATGCTAATGTGTGTGTAATTATTTTATTTAAAAATTTAACATGTCAGAGAAAACATAATTATATTATTAATGATAGATCCTCAATATTTTTCAACATATTATTCAAATTATATTTTTTTTTTAATAATCAATTTGCTAATTATCTTAAGACCGTAGAAATAATGGGTGAAGAATTTTTTCAGTCATAAAATTGTTGAGCTACTTGTATGAGTATTTATGTTCCTACTATATACGTACAACTAATTATAGACCTTTATGAAATATGTAACGTAACCAACAAATTCAAGTCCAAAATCAACTAAAAGGGGTTTATAATGGTTGTGTCAATTAACTACAAACGTTTTAATCATTTGTGTCTAAAGTTAGGTTTGGTAATATAACTTGTAGGCTTGGGAAAGCTTAAGAGCAACATGTCAACGGTTAATTTTACTAAATTAATTTTATTAATTGTATTTTGAAAGCATTATGATAAGAATAGTACTAAAAGAAAATGACAATTTTTCTTGCTTTGCTAAAATAAATAAGTAAAAAGCAAAATAATAATCAATATATGGTCAAGTAAATAAAACAGTGTGATTGACTAAAATCTTTTGACTATCTCAATTCTGAACATAGTCATATAATCACGAATCTGAAGTTACTCTCTAAAATCGTTATATATACATGCACTTTCATATATATAAATTAATTTCGATAATTCATATTCAATTATATAAAACTCATTAAAAAAAAATTATTCATCTACGAGAAACTTCTATTTATAGAATTTTGGAAATATAAGATGTACGTATAGTTGAGTGTAGTTAAAGATTTGATGAATTTCAATGCACTATGCCTTTGTTCTACGTAAGAAAAAAAATATACTAGAAGGTTCTGCCGACATATATGATTTATAAAATGGCAATTGTCAAAAGCATGCCAAAAATAACACCCATTTTTTGGCCCCAACTGTCACCGCAACACATGATGTAGAGTGCACTCTTCTGATTATTTTGGATTTATCTGGTATTCGTATGATAAATCGATTAATTTATATTGATGTATTATAAAATTTATTTTTCGAAAGGACACTCTCAATATAAGAATGAAACTATCACATTACAATCGTCTTGAGGTCGTAGAATACTTCTCCGTTCGGAATTGTTTATCATATTGTGCTTATTGAAAGTTAATTTGACTAATTTTTAAAGGTAATTTGAATTACATTAATTTAATATTTTAAACAAAAAAATTAGATATTCTAAAACTATATGAAAAGTACTATAAATTATAACTTTTTGCATATTAATATGATGAAAATATACATCTTAAAATGTTAGTTAAAATTTTTGTAATTTGACTCTAAAAATAGAAATAATGATAAATAATACCTTTTTTTAAAATGGTCAAAAAATTAAAAGAAGGCACATTTTGAGTGTCACTAGGACTAATATATATATTAAAAGAAAAATACCTTTTTATATTTTGATGTACTTTTACGTTTTCCATTATCATTAATGACATATTTTATAGTAAAAAATGTTATAACATGTCTAAAATTACACAGTTGAAGCATAAATAGATTCACAATTTGAAAATTGAAATTTTTTATAAAAGATTTAGGTAAATTAATATTACAATAATGATTATATTTATTTTATATATAGTTTTTAAACTATTACAAAGTATATTTCTAACGTCATCACTAATATCAAGAAAATATCGTACCAATAAAAATTGAGATTAAGTTGTATCTTTCTATCGCTAATCAAAAAAGTTTTAATTTTCAAGCATTTTTTTATGATCAATCAAAGTTTTTAAATTTCCAAGCGTTTTACCTCCCGATGCGAATTCGTCTTATGTGGAGCTAAAACTAATCTCAAGAAGGCATAGATCGACGTGACCCAAATTAAAACAGCCAGCCTTTGGACAATGACAAAAAGTGTGCCCCAATTTGCCTCCTAGTGACACTCAAATGATACAACTTGGACGTTTGCACACAACCCCACAAATCAACAAATCTAACTAATAAATGCCTCAACTTTTAGCACTTAATTAAAATCGTGACCTAGCACTCAAAATAATCGGTAGAATAAAGTAAGTTATAAAAAAAAAATATTATAGTTTTATTTTTAAAATAAAATAATTTATCATCATACATATTCGTATATGTTATACTTGGAAAGAATAATATATTATCATATTAAAAAAAATATTGTCCTGGAAATTTTAGCTTGATTTGATATCGATGTTTTTATGATCAAAAAAATATTATGACAGGTCGATCATAACTTTCAAAACCTTTTTTTTACTATAACAAATCAAACTATGTCATATAAAGTGAAAACAGTAAAAATTTTAATTGTATAAATTTTGAATTCGTAAATAACAATACTAAATCCTAGTAATTGAGAGTTAAGAATTTAATTTGTATACATATTTAAATTTTGATGTTTATATGAACGGAAGATACATAAAAATGTATTTGGTGAAATAGCAAAAATAGTTAGGTATTAAATTTTCTTATGTCGACAAATACGACAATAGAACGGGTCACATTCAATTCAACTTGATATAGTTGATTGTTCATTGAACTTTTGCCACACAAGCATCTACTACTTTGTTATGGTCCAAATACTTCCAATACATAAAACTCTCATGGCTGCCCAAAGGTCAATTATCCACTTTTGGCATGTGATTTTGGGAACTTGCAACTTTCTCTTTCATCAAATTTGTCACTTGTTTATTTAAAATAATTTTGACCAACTTGGCATCACCTCAAAATCTCAACATTTATAAATAGCAAGCATTTCCTTCCAAAATGTACAAATGCAACAAAAAGTTTAGTATATAAATCAAGAACAAGATCATTAATTCTTGTTCTAAGGTTTTTTCGAGCTAGACGGAGATTGACCCTCGAGTGCAATAAGGCAGAAGGGAGTTTGACTGCAGGATCCTTTCGAGAGTAACAAGGCAGAAGGAAGTTTGACTGCAAGATCGAGTATAAGATGAAAAGGCAAAGAGGTAGTAAGAAGGTAGTAAATAATTATGGGGAGATGAAAAAGGTCAAAAGGGTTGTTGAGAAACAAAGTGAAGAAGTGAAAATAGAGGAAGAACATAGGGAAAATAATGATGGAGGAGATGTTGTGAAGGAGGTGGAGTTGATAGGTGAGTGTGATAATTGGATTAATGAATGGCTTTGTTCATGGAGTAATGTTGTGGATGAGCAAATGTCATGGGGAACATGTTGGTCACCTGTTTGGGATATGGAGTTCTTGGGAGAAGCTTATATTAACTTGTATAATGATGTTTTGTGGGATGATGATGTTTGGGATTTAAAAGCCATCAAGGAAGTTCCAAGTTAATAGAAAAAGGATACATGTGTGTA